GGCGCTGGTAGAGCTACTCCCTTATACTGTGGACTGCAGTTTCTAATCCGCTTGCGAAGTGATTATGGCATATCCTCCCATCGGGAGAGGTTAATGATCGTGAAGTAAAATACAATTAATTGAGTTATTACGAGGCAAAGGGCAAAGCGTACCCACCGAGCCAACTTTGAACATAAACTCTGAATGCACTTTATAATCTCATACTTGCATTTTCTATAACATAAAGCACATCAGCTAAAACGTTGTTTGAAATTTAGTCATAAAGTGATATTAACTATTGTTTCGAATAATCTTCCATACCAGGGAATTTGCCAATAACGAGCTTCATGGGAAACTGACGTTATTATATTTAAATTTGCCTCAAATCTCAGAGGTATTCGTTTATCTAGTAACTTAGCGCTAAGTAGAGATACTACGCTGAAGTGAGGAGTAGTTATTTTCTTTATTAGACGGAAGTGAAAAACAAATTTACAGTCTGCTTGATGATAAGTGGATATTGCATCCCATGGACAGCTGTAAATAACTTTTAACAAAGTAGGTTACAGATACGTTGTCACCTCTGATGACTTTGGTTTTGCGCCAGGGTTTTGGGAGGTTCCATCACTCACTATTTTACCCAACCCAATTTTATTACTATCCCATGCTGGTCATAACAAAACGGAAAGTGTCAATTGCGTTACTCTCCTAACCTCCTGCCCAGCTTTGAATAATGGAATATTGAATTCGTGATTATCTAGGCGATGATCTTACCACCTATTTCTCTTTCATCATGTTGTGTAATCTGTATATATGTTTTAATGATAATAAGTTAAAGTATATGATAAGGTTTGTTTTAGTCGACTCATAGGACTTGAATGGACCAGTTATGGGAATTGTATATTTAACTTGATAGTTAGAAGATAAAGGTTAGACTAAGAAAGTTTATTAATTTACTTACTACGTTTATTTAATTTTTTTAATACCTTTATTTACTTTATTTATTTACTACGTTTATTTAAGAAAGTTTATTAATTACATGTATAACAGCCTATCCAATTCCACTGCTGAACATAGGCCTCCCAAATTGATTAAGTTAGTAAACGACTTCCTCTTTGGTCTAATGGTCGTAAATGCAGTTGCTGATTATGAGGACACTGGTTCGAATCCCGGATCGGGTCATAACCAGTTCTTAGTATTTTTCGTCTAGGAATTTTCAATAGCATCCTGGAATCAGGAAGTTGATAATGTTTCGGCCAGTGCCTCGGAAAGCACATAAAGCCGTTGTTTCTTGGCCTGATCTCTCGCCGGTCGTCTCGGTTTAATGTCCCATCGGACTGTGCTAATGAGAGAATAGAGAGTGCACCGGTGCTTGAGTATACACTTGAGATCTATATACTGTCTCACGCAGGTGGCTAGTCTCTGTTGAGACTGGATGCCAACGGGATGACATATGGCTGTGGATTTTACACACACAATATATAAATTATTTCATTTTTTCAAATAACTAATCAGATTATCTAAAAATTAACTTTCTAGTAAATATTGTTCGACGACAGGAAAGTCGGAAGTTCTTTAATATATCGTCGAGTAATTAAATATATTACATACTATTTATATCGTCCACCGTCTAAAGATCGTCACGACTGAATGCTCACTGAATTTTGAAATAAACTTGCCTTTTATAAATTGCATTCCACGTGGTCGGACCCGTTCGTGTCCTGAGAATTATGGCTTTACGTTGTATTTGATGTATACTGACTTGCGAGTGTAGACGCCGGTTTATTTAAAACTCACATACTTTACTTTTACCTTTTATACGCACGAATGTTAAATTATTTTGTTAAACGTCAAAACCGTTTATTAAGTGCTCATTTTATTAATAGAGGATTTATTTTTATATGTATGTCCATTCGGCTTTATAGTTGAATTCAAAAAAGAAGAAGTTCTCAAATCGAGTACCTACGTTCCACTTTGGGTACATTGCCACTAAAATTATCTGCAGAAACTGCTATCAATTTGTCGGCGAGTACACGCTCTTAAAATTTATTTTAAAAATATGTCATATTATTTGCCATCACTGATTTTAAACATGCAATACAAAAAAATACAAAAGCTAAGCTACAATTAATTACAAGTCTAGTCTTAACGTAGGCCATCTACGCGGGACAGGGTTATAGTACCTGAGTGTATGCGCAAACAGACGCACTCTTTATTTCTTGATTCCCATAGTACAATGAGAAAATAATCCAACGTGACCGAAGAGAGATCAGTAGGACCAACAGCTTTACGTACTTCCTTGTCGCGGGAGTGTAACACCGCCAACTTCCTGACTTCGGGCTTCAATTCTACCCAAGTTTCGAACCCAGGACCACGTGATTATTTATCTATCAATTTATTTCAGACATGGTGCATTAGTTAGATATAGATATGTTAGTCATTAATAGGTCTTACCGGTATCGGCATAAAAAACAAAGATAATATTTCAATAAAATAAAAAAATGTTAATCTAATTATAACAAAAACAACACTTATTAATAAATTGTGAGGTATAACATAATAAAGTTTCAATTAAGAAGAATAATAATTACCTACATACGTGTGAAATTAGACAAACATTGAAATTTTTGATTTTTATAATCACAGATTTTCATTACAATATATTTTTTCGCTAAAAGTACGTAGAATTTATATAAAAATATACATATACGTCTTGGACTTTATGGAGTGACCTGAAGGTGTACTTTGGTGAATGCTAAATTAAAATACTGGTTATGACTAGATGAAAAACTTTTTAAAACGAAATAAAGTTGACGAGAAAAAACATTATTAACGAGTCAGGTAAAAAAGACTACTTTTTACGATAACGCCTGAGCACAAACACCTAAAAATAAAAGTAATATTAAAGTTGATTTCTGGTCCTTTTAAGATAATTCTGTTAAATGTTTTTCTCTAAAACTGAATTTCAATAATAATAAAATAGTGAAATTCAATAAACGTGTTTTTATACTTGGTTGAGATTTTTTTCTACATTTTTTTCACAATCATATGCGTTGTGAGTCGTGCACGTTCACATAAAATTATCGGAAAATTATAAGTAAAAGTAATAAGGTTATTTGGTGAAAACTTGTGTGTATTTAAAGTACGTTAAAAATTTACATATAACATGAGCGCTTAAAGCATGCACATTTGGATTTACAAAAAGTTTTTATTCTATTCAATTTGGTATATTCGTTTTAGGTTGATTTTTAACAAACGCAGCGACATATACTTATTTGCAACATATTTTTAGACGCCATCTTAATCACCCATCGTCCTCCCAGTTAGTAGCTAAAACTGACCAGCCATGAATAATATTTTCTGAGAAGAGTAATTAGCAGTCTTATTACGACCACTAAACCAATGAAGCAGTCTCTCTCTTTACCTATATTTATTACTGGGCATACATATTTCAAAAATGCATCATATTATGATTTTTTTACCATCAGGCTATCATCGGCCTCACTTACCTAAATCACAGAATAAATAATAGTACTAAGTACGTACAGAAGTTACACTTTGTTGATGTTTTTTTGATGTATTTTGATGTTTTTGATGTTGCCGACTTTTAATAGCCTACATAATAATTATTAATTGGATAATTCGCGCACGCAAGCTAAATTAAACTTTATCGCTGTGCGTGAGTGTCCATATTATTTTGCAATTTTACCCTTCCTAAGTCACGGCGGACTTTACGTGGTTACTAAAGGATGTCAATGTAAAGTCAAAAAATATATTGCGAAGTGTTAATTAAGTTACTTAGGTGAAGTACATATTCTGACTATGATCGACTGACCATATTTGCGCACCTATGTGAGTTCTGCGATGTCCAACGCATGCAAATTGCAAGGCCATTCGTCGGGAATCGTGATGCTTGGCTCGAAAAAAACAACAAATAAACTTCACACTAAATAAAATAACAATATAGTAGGAAGGACGTTTTGCCATTAAATTTTATCATATAGATGGGTAATATATATAATTTTTAAATTACATCAAAAATTTTTAAGTATTTTATCCTACAATTATATATACTAAACACTAAATAAAAACTATTTCAAGAAGTATTTACGAAAAATTGTTTACGTAAACAGCATAAAAAACTTTAATATTCAATCGCCTAGAACCTTTGAGTATTCAACCAATTTTTTACTCAAAGCCTAGAACGCACTAGCCCCGACTGCGTATTTCACCCTTTATAGGTGCGTCGCGATTTTAGGTAATTATTTCACGCAGGTAGCAAGAGTGACAGAGGCCTGCCTAAATATACATCCTTTTAGATGAATGGATATAATGGAGGGTAGGAGAGTATTCTTGTATAATATTTTACAGCCAAAGTAACAAATCCCGATATTATACATATTATCTAGCAATTATTTATAATGTCTACTCAATTTAGATGAAGTGATAATTGGCACAGAATTAATCGCACTAACTAGCAATTTTATATAATATCTTCGAAGACTTGGATAATGTAATAAAACAAGTATGTAGGTATATGTAAATATTATAAAATTATATTTCAATTTGCCTCAAGCATACTTAACTATATGTGTAGCAAATAGTAATATTTTAGTAATAATAGAAAAGTAATAATTATAATGTTTATTTTAAGAATAAATTAACATTGTCATAGATAACAATTCTACGTTAATTAACTTTGATAAAAAATTATTTAACTTTAAATACTTTAATTTATAAAGTAAATTTAAAGCTCACTAGCCATAAAACAAAATTAAAAAAAAAACACAGAGATCAATACAAGTATTTGGTATCACTCTTTAAAGACTACAATAATAAAATATTTAAAATCAACTGACATGAATTAATTGGGTTATAATTATTATTTATTCTTACAAGTAAAGCTCTTGTGACATTTTGAGTTACACATCAGGTTTGACTTATTACATTTACACCTATTAGAAACGCATTCTCCAGTACAGTTGCAATGCAGAAATCCTTGGCCGTCAAGATGTGACTCTTTTTTATGCACATTCTCTGATGGTAACTTCATGTTGGGGAACGATATCAACTGTAACAAACGTTTCTTTACAGACAGTGAACTGATTCCTTGCGTAAAGTTGATTTAGAATCCCATGCTTAGTGCCTAACTTATACATTCCTTCTGTCTCAAGAGAAATTATAACAACCATAATGTTTCTATCATCGGCTTTGGCGCGGTCTACATCAGGAATTTTTACCACTACATTATCGCCTGTATTAGCAGCAGGATATTTTACCGAAGATAGAGCTAACATTTTATCTGCTTGCTTTTTCAGAGATTGTCCGACTAATTTTCTGATGTTTCCTATATCTTGTTTCCTTTTATCGAGAGCAATTACTATTTCTTGGTCACTTTGCGTTATTTTTGACGGATCTGTAGTATTACCTTGGTTTTCGGTCTCTTTATCAGATTTTTCCTGTCAGGTTATTTGGTATTTCATTTTGCGAATCAGTGTTTAAAATTGTAGTATCGCTTTCTAAGTTTTCATCTTCATTAATCACAGCGTCGGTAATATTGGGTTCGATTTCCATCTCCTCATTCAAATGGTTTTCGTCTTCAATTAGTATAGATTCTAGCGCTTCTTCTGTTGACAGTTCAACTAGCGCGTCTTTCTGAAGACTATTTAATCCGACATTAGCTTTACAGCCAAACATTGTTTCGTAAGGGCTACGATTTATCCCTGCGTGATACGCTCTGTTCTTCATAAATTGAATAAAGCGTAATCCTTCAGACCATTTCGTCGTCTTGTTAGATTCCAGCCAAGTTACAAAGGATCTTCTCTACGTCTTGGTTAGACCTTTCAACACACCCGTGTGATTGAGAGTGTCGGAGTTTAATATGAACGATTTTTAATTCCAGCCACATAGCACAGACTTCTTTGACCACTTTGTAAGCAAATTTCCTACCATTATCGCTTTGCAAAATACTAGGCGCTCCGAATGTATTAAAAATGTCAAGTAAATGATACGCTACCTCTTCTGTTCTTTTGCTTTTTAACGACCGCAGCTGCACGAATTTTGTTAGGTGATCTTGATACACCATGATGAATTTATAATCACCATCACCTTGTGATTGCGTGTCTATTAGATCTACCTGGCACCTTAAATTAAGCTCGTTGCTGATAATCGGTTTTAAAACAAGACCTTTTTTTGGCAAACTTTTTTTTCTGACAAGATTCACACAGATTCAAATACACTGTGACGAGTTCAGCAGTTACATTTTTATATCTTAATTTTAACTCTTTCATCATTCTGACTCTACCGCCGTGTCCAATACTAATATGATAGTCGTGGATTATTTGAAAAGTTTCGTCTAAGTGAGCATAGTAAATAATGGGATCACCTTCGTTTTTCACCGGAATAATTAGTTTTTCTGATGCTCCAATTTTGACGACATCGTATCTTGCTAAGCGCTGGTAATATTCTGGTGTTTTCTTAGTAACCTTGTTCTTTGATTCTTTTACTTTTAAAATTAAAGACAAATATTGATCATTTGTAAACGACTGATTATTTTTTCCTTTACCTGCAATAAGTACAGTGGTAGTTTCATAGAAACGTTTTTTCATTTCACCTGCCATCATCAGACACTGATACAAATGTAAAAACTCGCGAAAATTGTGGCACACACTGCGCGACATCTCATGACAAAACGACAACGAACACTATTGCGTCAGCCACGAGATCGCGGTGATCACGCTACGCTGCAGCGTTATGAAGAGCGGGAGGGGTAACAAGTCAGTTACACCGTATTTATTACTTTGGCTAACTTTGACCCGCTATTATGAATAATATCCGGATAAAGTGATTAATTTATCATATTGTCTATTCAATTTTGCTATTATATATAATGGCCAGTCATTATGTATAATAGAGTTAACCGTCAAATGCCTTTTTTACGCCGATGATCAGGCCATATTTGCGTCGTCCTCGGCCGACTTGCAAATGATGGCTACATTAATGGAAATGAACGCAAGTAAGACGAAAGTTATGGTTTTTGAAAGATAAGAACGTGAAACGATATGTGAAATAAGAATAGAAGAGGAGTTTGTTTGTGTATGTGTATCTAGTGGGGGTGGAAGATACGATATGGGTATAGAACGAGGAGTGAATGCAGGAAACAAAATAAATAGGGCTCTACACTCTATAGAGTAAAGTCAGAATGTGTCAAAAAAGGCACGTATGGCAATTTACAATGCTGTGTTAGCCCCTACTTAACGTATGGTAGTGGACGTTGGGTGTGGCGAAAGAAGCACGAGAGGGTATTTTTTATTATTGTTACGCGCTCAACGTCATACACTAGCGCCATCTAGTGTCAGGAACGAGAGCGAGGGGAGCTTTGCAGAAAATGACATCACAAATCTTTACCGACAGCGCCATCCGAAGAACTAAGTTTCCAGAAAATCTACACTCGAACACTCTTCGCTTTGCGCGCATTTACTTGAATATTCCGGATGCTTCATTGCTAATTTGTATATAGAGGCGCTGCAAGATGCGATCGGGGCAGTATTGGATTTGGCGAGACAAGCGAAGCTTCGGAGCGGAATAAAGTGAATTAGTGTGTTTAATTATTAGTGTTTTAAGTTTTAATTTGTGTAAAGTAAATTAAAGTGTTAATTTAGGTAATTTTATCGGCAATTTTTATTGTCACGAACCTCAAGCTCGTAACATTATCTTCGAGCAGCTATGCAAGTCTAGGGAAAGAGACCAATATCATTGCGACCTAAAAGATCTATTGTGATCACTGCTATGACTAAAGTTCACTGCTAAGCCCTATGTTTTCAATGAATAGAAGGATTTGCTTAACCGTGAGCGATTTCATTTCTTCTGGGCAGAATACATAGTTTCTCAGATGAGTGTTACGTTTACGCATTAAGGGTCCGCAATCAGTTAGGATGTGCATAAGCGTTTCTTTCGTTATGGAACAGAACCGACACATCCTTGAGTGGCTTAGTCCCAGGATGGATTTATGTGCTTTTTAAGACAACAGTGTCCAGTTAGAGGTCTTGCCAGAATGCGTAATTTATTTCTACTTAATCCTAGGGTTTCTGAAGCAATTCGCGATCGAAAGCCCGGATTAAAGTTTTGGAATGTTTAAGCCTGGTGTGCTAGACTAGATCTCAGACCGCCCTAGGCGTTAATCCTATACAAAGTAGTCCTCGCCTCCTTGTCTAGATATAGATCAAGGGGCGTTAGGCATAGAAATGCATTAAGAGCCGCTCCAGGCCATGATCGCGTAGCTCCAGTTGCCATTAAGCAGGCAATCCTTTGTAGACTATTTAGTCTGTCCGTAGTCGTCTTTAACTATATATATATATATATATATTATATATATATATATATATATATATATATATATATATATATATATATATTCTGCATTTACAGACCCCCAGGGTAAGTTCCGAAGAAATCAATAAGTTTTTTTGCAACATTTACTTCTTTATTAAATCAGTTTTGCCTTGGAAATAGGAAAGTAATACTCAGTGGCGATTTTAATATTAATACTCTGAAAAAAGTAAGGAAACTATTGAGTTAAGTGAAATTCTGTCTGCATATAACCTGAAAATAGGAATAAAGGAGCCCACTAGATTGGCAAGTGGCACATGTATTGACAATTTCATGTATAATGTTCGTGACTGTAAAACAAGAGTTTTGGAACTTGCGTTATCTGATCACACTGCACAAGTACTTACATGTCCAGTAAAATTAAGTTGTCTAATCAAACATTGGTACGTTAAAACGCGGGACTACTGTAAAGAGAATTTAGATAAATTTAAAGAATGCATTAAGGCTCTAAGTTTCAATGATGTGTTTAATAGTAATGATCCAAATACTTCGTTTAACATTTTTTATGATTTTTTTCCGTTTTTTCTATAACTTATGTTTTCCTGTAAAATATATTAAAAAAGACACAAAAGTGAAGACAAAATTGATAACGAAATTTTAAAAAAGTGCTGTAAACGTAAACGTCAGCTTCTTTGGCAATATAGGAAAAACCGAACAGAAAATAATAAAAGAAGTTTTATAGACATTTCATCAAGACTGCGTCGTGTTATCAAATTCACACAAAAGATTAAAAACGACAATTTCATAAATAATGCTCGTAACAAATGCAAAGCTACTTGGACTATAATTAATAATAGGACAATTAATTTACCAAATCAGGAAATACAACAAATTACTATCAATAACACCACAATTAATGATCCCATAAGCATAGCGAATAAATTTAATGAATATTATATTAACCAAATCACCAAATTGGTCCTCCATAGAACACCAATTAATATTTCAAGTGAATCTAAATCTTTTTTTTTAATTTATTTTATGTACACATATTAAGACACAGAAGCAGTCTTATAGTAATTTCGTACAAAGGTTCTACTTATTCCAGATCAGCTGAAATATCTTCCAGTAGACCCATAAAGAAAATTATATTGAAATTGCAAACTTAGTGCATACATTAGTACTACTAAAAATAAATAATATACACAATTTTACATAAATTATACAAAATAAAACAATAAATAAAAATAAAATAAATAAATAAATAATAATAATAATAATAAATACGATAGTTACATATGATATACATAAACTAAAACTAATATAATAGAATAATATATATAAATTAACAGGATGCAAAGTAGTTATCCCTAAGACATTTCTTGAATACCAACAAAGTTTCGGAATTTCTTATATTTGACGGTAGTGAGTTCCATAAACTTACCGCGTGAACTGAAAAGGAGTGGGAGTAAAAACCGGAATTATAGACGGGAAAGTCAAGAAGAGTTTTAACAAGGAATCTGCATGGTTTGTCCGGAGGATGGGTGAAGGAAAATCGGCTTCTGAGGTATGTGGGAGAGGAAGGGTTGTGCAAAATGTTATAGAGGAGACATAACAATCGAGTGTTCCTTCGAAGTCGAATTGGGAGCCACTTGAGTTGCTTACGAAACTGAGATATACGGTCAAATTTCTTGAGCCCAAATATAAAACGGATACACTGATTTTGCAAGCGCTCAAGTTTATTAAGAAGCTCCTCTGTAGCATCCAAATAACAAGCATCCGCATAATCAAGGAGAGGTAGGATAAGAGTAAGCACGAGTGATATTTTAGCTTTAAGGGGTAAGAAATTTTGTAGACATTTAAGCGAATGCAAAGTAAAGTAGACCTTGCGACTAACTTCAGCGATATGCGTGGTCCATGTTAAATGGTGATCAAATATGACGCCTAAGTTTTTGACGGTATTGGCAAAGGGTATAGGAACGCCATTAAAACAAACAAAAGGTAGTGATGTTAATTCTAATGTACTACGCAAATGCCTACTACCTATTATGATGGCCTGCGATTTCGTGGGATTAACTAACAGTCCGAAGGATGCAGACCATTCACAGATACGGCTCAGATCCGCATTCATGGCTGCAATTGCATTATTTGTATCACCCACCGGAAAATGACGATAAAGCTGTAAGTCATCCGCGTAGAGATAGTAATTAGATGTAATAACACTCGTAATAGAGTTAATAAATATGGAAAATAAAAGGGGGGAAAGAACGCCACCCTGAGGTACACCCGTAATGATACCAGACCACAATGAGAAAGAGTGTCATTAACACGGACACAATGTGATCGACCACGAAGATATGAATCAAGCC